AAAAAAAAAAAAAAAAAAAAAAAAAAACCTCCGCCTCAAGTCCCCATCTCAGCGTAAAGCCCCAGCTGACAGAAAACAAAGCTGCCCTGAGGCCCCCACATGAAAGGCAACTTGAAAAGCAGAGGATGGCACAATAGGAAGGGAACAGAGCCAGAAAAGTCACCAGAAAAACTCCAAGCATGGGGGACATGAGGGGTGGCCACCTCACCCAAGTAGATAGTATTAAATTCCTTAAAAGAAGTGGGAAAGTGGGAAACCTAGCATCCTCCTGGGTGGAGGAGAAGCACCTCTGCAATAACTGTGGACCCAGGACAAACATTAGAGAAGCCAGGTTGAGAAACATATCCTAACCTGCAGAAGTAGAAACCAGATTGGACACTGGTCTGTAAATTCCATGGCCTAAAAGTCAGATAAAGAACCCCAGGGCCCCTTGTTCCTCCTCAAGGTCAAGGTGCAGAACAAGCCCTCCCATGGCTGTCGTCGGCCAAGGGGTGGCTGGCCACCACAGAGCAGGGGAAGAGACTAACAGAACATTCCTTTAAATTCTGCTATAAAGACACACTGAGAACCAGAGAACTGGTAAAGCACCCATCAGAGAAATCTTCACCTGCTGGCAAAATCACCCCTGCAGTCCAAACTCCTATAAAGAGAAAAATTAGAGGCAGCCCATTTGGGATAAATTTGGTAGATTCAGCAATGTGACTATTCAGTTGGTGACTGATGTGGAATGAACCAGGTGTGGGAGTGGTGGTGAAGAGGGAGACAGGGAAGGGCTCTTCCTTGCAGCTCCTGGTTTCACTCCCTGTCCACCACCACCCCAGAAGCCACCTGGAGTCATGCTCAACGCTCATCCTTGTGCCTAAGTGCTTGGGGATTCATGTGCATGGTCCCTGTGTACCTGGCCACTCACACACCTGTTCACATGTGCATGCACGCTGTTTTGCCCTCCACAAGTATCTGGGTCCACACCATCCCTCATGGCCCCCTAGCCAGTACACATGCACCTGCACACACTTACCCACCTTCTTCACTTGTAAATGGTCACCCCCACCAAGTTGCTGACACAATCACATCTCAGACCCCAGTCCCACTCCTGTAGGTGTCCACTAGTATGTCCATGCTCCTCCCATGAGCACACCATGAGGCCACGGCATCTCCTTATGGGGCTCACTGTTGGGAGGCAGCATGGAGGCCATCTGGGGGATGCTCAGAGCCCCCATGCACGTGGTCCCACAGTATCCTGGAGATCTGTAGAAAGAGCACCCTGGGTTGTAAAGAGAAATGAGAAGGGGCAACAGTAATGTGGGGGGGTCAGGTCACAAACCTCACTGCTCAGAGCAGGAGGATACTGGGGTCAGCCAGGGCAGAGCCCTCATTGTGCAGAGTCCACTGCCCTTGCCCTGGGTTGCAGTTGGACCCCCTCTGCTACCACGGTGTCCCCTCAGGCTTCACCCACCTCTCAACCCACAGAAGACGTCTTCCCTTGCAAGGACTGTGGCATTTGGTACCGTAGTGAGCGGAATCTGCAAGCTCACCTCCTGTACTACTGCGCCAGTCGCCAAAGCGCCAGCTCCCCTGCCACAGCCATCACGGATGAGAAGCCCAAGGAGCCGTACCCCAACGAGCGCATCTGCCCCTTCCCCCAGTGCCGCAAAAGCTGCCCTAGCGCCAGCTCCCTGGAGATCCACATGCGCAGCCACAGTGGTGAGGCCCCACGCCCCCCAGGCCCCTAGACTGCTCTACGATAGCGTGTGGGTGCCCGCTGTGCCCAGGCCACAGATGCACCAGTGGTATTCCCACTACATCGCACAGCCTCCCACAGCTCCCAGGGCATGCAGCCCACCTGTGGCTGTCTGGATGGTCAGCTCGGGGCTGGGCCCGGGCCGGGATCCTGGGAGGCTTGAAGAGCCCTCCACACATGGCCGATGTCACGGCCCCTCACTGGGCCCTGTGTTCCAGGCGAGCGCCCTTTCGTGTGTCTCATCTGCCTGTCGGCCTTCACCACCAAGGCCAACTGCGAGCGGCACCTCAAGGTGCACACCGACACACTGAGCGGTAGGCAGGCTGGGAAAGGGACAGGGGGAGGAGCAGGGGGTGTCTGTGGAGCCCACCCACTCCAGGGCCCTGACACCACAGCCCATCTGCAGGTGTCTGCCACAGCTGTGGCTTCATCTCCACGACAAGGGATATCCTCTACAGCCACCTGGTGACCAACCACATGGTCTGCCAGCCAGGCTCCAAGTCTGAGATCTATTCATCAGGGGCCGGCCACCCGGCAGTCAAGCACCCCTCAGGTGAGCCCAGGCCCCACCAGGACTTGGGAGGGGGCTGGTCCATGAGATAGTGGGGTTTCAATTGGCCTTGGCCCTCCACCACCTCTGCCCGCCCAGCTCTCCCTTCCCACCCTGCCCCCTCTTCAGGTCTGGCCCAGGCAGGTCCTGCACCAACCCTGAAGTGTGGCCCCTGGGGTCTCCCTGCAGAAAGTCTGGCCGGCTTCCAGCAGCACACAGCCCTGCACGGCCCCCTGGCCTCCGCCGAACTGGGCCTGGCACCCACACCATCACCAGGACTGGACAGGAAAGCCCTGGCCGAAGCCACCAACGGAGAGGCCAGAGCAGCCTCCCAGAATGGGGGCAGCGGGGAGCCCCTGGCTGTCCACAGGAGCATCAAGGTGGAGGCAGCTGAGGAGCCCGAAGTGGAGCCAGGGCCCCCCCCAGCCCCTTCGTCGCGGACACCCTCACCGCCCAGCCCCGCGCCGGCCCGGGTCAAGACCGAGCTGCCCAGCCCCACACCCGGCTCCAGTCCAGGCCCTGGCGCGCTCTTCCTGCCACAGTTCCCCGCGGCACCCCCAGCCTCGGAGATTCTGGCCAAGATGTCGGAGCTGGTGCACAGCCGGCTACAGGCAGGGGTAGGCGCGGGCGCAGGGTCGCCAGCCGGCTTACTCGCGGGGGCCCCCAAGGGCGCCACGTGCTTCGAGTGCGACATCACCTTTAACAACGTCAGCAACTTCTACGTGCACAAGCGCCTCTACTGCTCTGGCCGCCGCGCACCAGACGATGCGC